GGACATGCAGAAGGGACCCTGGCTGGCAGGGTGGAGGAGGAGGGGAAAAGGGGCCCAGGCTGGTGCATCAGGGAGAAAAGGGACCCATGCTGGAGATGGGGTGTGGAGGGAAAAGAGACCTGGGCTGGCACAGCCACAGCTTAGCCCTCCCCGGTGGCCGGGGGAAGGGAGGAGAGCCGGGGTTGCCTACCCCCCTGTAAGAGGAGGATTGGAAAGCACAGTGAACAGGGAGCAAAGCCCTCTAGTAATTACCAGTCCAAAACAGTGTGGTTTTCATGAAAGAGAAACTATAAATTAGAGATAAAAATAAATTGTTGCCATTGGCATTAGAGAACACACAAGCATTACAGGAATGGTTTACTGACAATGTGGTTTGATTCTCCTATTGCTAAATTTCATCCCAATGGCTACTCTGATACTTCTTTTCTGGGAATGCAATCTAAAGTTATTTATTTGCTTACATTATCTGTTGCAAACTGAGTTCCTGATGTGAAAGTACAATTAAGAGAGACAAGCATTCAATCTCAGAGAATTCTAAATATAGAAGACAGAACAAAATAAGAAAACTTACCTCATCCTTTCTACCAATGGAGATTTCGTAAGTATGTAGCAGCTCTCTCAAATTCTCCATCTGATTGTTCAGTTGTCTCATGTGCGCAGAATGTTTCTCTTTTTCTTGTCTCATTTCTAGCTTGTGATGTTCAATGAAAGCCATTTTCCATTTTCTTAGTTCAGTCAGAACATTTGTCTGAAAAGAGCAAGTAACACTAATGAAACTAGGAAAATTATTCTCCCCAACTCTTTTAATCCTAGAAATTTACAGCAGTTAATCAGACATCAAAATTTACACTGAATCTTGCATGTACATCTCTGTCCCGTTACAAGATGGACTGAGACATCTAGTTATGATCACATACAATATTTAATAATTATACTGCTATTAAAAGTGTGTAAGAAAGGAGGAGAATCCAATCATAATCTAAAAATATTTTATTTTGGTGCCAATGTCAGTGACACTTGGGAAAGTACCATTTTAATTTGAATGATCAAGCCAGCAAGAAAGAGGAGAAGAGCAAAAATCAGGTACTTTAGGTAATTAAGAGGAAGCCACTCCTACAAGACATCCAGCTCCATTCAGAGGGAGCCAAACTCCAAGGAGTCCAGCAGAGCCCACTGTTGTTACAAATTCCACTGAAAGGGTGCTGATCCTGAGAAATCCAATAGAACATGAATGTGCAGATGTTCAAAATATGACTATTCTACTGTGACTGGAGTCTCACACATGTGGAGTTTGGTCACTGGTGGGAGGCTGGAAGAATATTCCCATTTGATAAATGTTCTTGACAGACAGTTTTCATCCTGACAGTGGCACATGCATCAGGTTTGAAATTTAAGGGGAAATTTCTGGGAGCACAGATACAGTAACACTTACGGCTGCCACTGCATGAACAAAATAGATTCTTGGAGTATTTAGTGTTCACTAGTCAAAAGGCAAACAGATCATTAGACCATCTCTGTGCAAGTTCAGTATGTTTTCAACTACTTAGCAATCAAGTAGCAGGAGTTAAGTTAGCTAATTACTTAGGGTGCATCTACTCTGCATCTTTATTTCGAGATAACTTGCGTTATTTTGAATTAACAGACAGCTTATTCCGAAATCTGTAAACCTCATTCTACGAGGAATAATGCCTATTCCAAAATGGCTATTTCGAAATAAGGGGTGTATAGATGCTCCACTGCTGCTATTTCTAAACAGCCCCTCACCAGGGCCATTCTAAGTTATTCCTCCCCAGTGTCTCCTGTGGCTCTAAATTGAGATAGCACGTCTACATTAGGGAAGCCTGTCTTGGACTAATTTTGAGGCTTCTCTGCATTGTGGACGTGCTACTTCAGAATAACTATTCCAGAATATCTTATTTTGAAATAACTGTGCAGTGTAGACATGCCCTTAGATTCTATTTTCTGCCGTGTTTCTACCAATGCCACAATAGCCAACCATTCAATATAAAGATAATACGTTTAGTAGAAATTCAATACCTTAAGACTTCCACTCCAGAGATCAAGTATGCTTTCTATCTGGGTCACTTTTTCATCTGCAAGAGTTAACTCAGTCACTATAGTCTCATCAATCTCTCTTGGACCAGATGAGGACCCTTGTGAAGAAGTCTCTCCTGAACGAACAGGGCAAAGTCCTTCCATGTCTGCCTGTGAAGGCTCCTTTACAGACGTTAAAACTAAAGATAAAACAAAAATGTTACAAGTTGATTCCTGAGTCTTTAAAGGGCTTAAATTTACTATATGAGAGAGTTTGAGAGTCTGTTTGTTCAAGAAGTCCTACTAAACAGTAAAAGCTACAACCACCAAATTCAATATACAGTTTCCTCCTATCAAAACTTAAAGCAAAGTAAGGTTTTGGTTGTGCCAGGAAAATGGAATGTGCCTGGAGAGGGATTGCTTCTCATAAAACCATACAGAAAAGAGATAATCACAAGGATGGTGGAAGGGTATAGCTAGAGGCATGCTCCCCCTCATTTAGGACTGCCCCAGTCCCAAGCCTCTCCCCTATGTATCCTTTAGGGAAGGTGGAGGCTGAAGTTACTCCCTCCCCCCCCATATGAACAATGCTGGCTGTTCCCCTTCATCAGGGGGTGAATGGAAGTGCACAGTTTGTTGTTGCATTCCTTACTCTAGCTGGGGAGCGCAGGGGAGAGACAAACCTGTATGTGCCCCAGCTGGGACACATGCATTGCTTCTCCAGCTGTGCCCACTGAAGCTTCTCACCTGGCCCCAAACTGCTGTGGTACGAGGACTGAGGTTGTCCTCTCTTCCTGGAGCACCCTGCATACTGAACCCCTCATTCCCAGAATAATGATTCAAATGAAGCATGCACATTTTAATTTTATTTTCCAAAAAATAAAATTCACAAGTCTCAGAAGGGTAATTGTGTTAGTTTGTATCTGCAAAAGCATAAGCTTTTGTGGGAAATTATAGATGGTGCCATTGCCATTTGGTCGAGTTAAAGAAACCACATTGGTCTCGGCCAGCCAGGTAGGTGCACTCTGTATGAGCAAAGGCACACTAGGGATGTTAAAATTAGATTAATCAATTAATGGAATAGTCGATGGAATTTCCATCGACTATTTCATTAGTCGATGAGGGCGCTTCCATTTTGAAATGTAGCAAGAAACCACCCGGCTGTTGCTACATTTCAAAGGTGGAAGTGGCGCGCAGCATTCTGCCTTGGAAACATACATTTCAGAGTGGAAGCGCCACATAGAGTCTGGAGCCAGTGGGGGACTTAAGTCCCCTGCTAGCCAAGGGCTCCACATGGCATTTCAATCTTTTACATTTCAAAGGTGGAACACTGCCACTGTGCCTCTGCCCCCTCCCACAGAGCTGGAGCCGGGGGAACCGGCTTTTAAGCATCTTTTAAAACTGAGGGAACCTGGAACATTGAAGGGAACGTGTTCCAAGACGGGTCTGTCAAGAGGGCCAAAATACCAGACATTTTTAAAAAGAGTACAAAAAAGGAGAGAAAAAACCAAAAAGGTAAGGGTTTTGTTAAAAGGAGCAAGAAACAAAGGGAGAGGAGATGCTAGTGTTCTGTCTTAAGCCAAAGGTGGTAGAGAAGGAACTGGGGAATGGTTGACAGTGTGTGCTAGTTAACTTCTCGCCATAGTGCAAGACTGAAACTGCACACGTGGTGCCATCTGGAGTACTGCTGCTACAAAATCTTCAAATGTAAGTATAGGGTGCTGAAGCACCTATAGGGGAGCACCAACAGGGATACTCTTCAGAGAAGATTCTCTCATAATTTTGTATATGGATAAAATCTCTGCTAGCCTGGTTGGGAAGGCGAAAACTCCAAGAACTAATCCTAGCCTGGTAACTCCTTATTTTCCTATGTACACTGTGAATAGATCAAGAGATAGATGTGAGAGCTGTAAGTTAACCAAACAAGAAATAACTTGCAAAGAGAGAGAGACGGGACGGGAGACGGGGGGAGTAGGGTGTTGTCAAAAGAGTCAAATTGCAAGTTTCCACCTCAAATTTGTTTGCACTGTAAATCAATATACCATGGAAATCTATTTTTGACCTGCCAATGTTTCACCCCAAATTTGCACATTTGCTTACCTTATCAATCATAACTACATCTTTTTACATGTGGATAATCTCTCTTATTCTATTGCAAACCCTAAGAAACAGGAAATGCTTCTGTACAATCAAAGAAAATTCTATCAAAATCTGGAAGAGAAGGGATTCTGTTGGTTTTCATAGTAAATACTTGGGGCACTCTAGAAGTAATAGGACTTGAATGGCACACGGAAGAAGGAATATTTAAAAATATAAATCAGGATATTTTTTATTATTAAAAGAAATTGCTAAAAGGGGGGAAATTCCAATAATGAGGATCAGTACTGAAATATAATCCTTGAAATGAATCCGAGTCTCTGATAAGAAAAGTGATAGAAACGTAGCCGTGTTAGTCTGGTCTAGCTGAAACAAAAAACAGGACTATGTAGCACTTTAAAGACTAACAAGATGGTTTATTAGGTGATGAGCTTTCGTGGGCCAGACCTACTTCCTCAGATCAAATAGTGGAAGAAAACTGTCACAACCATATATACCAAAGGATACAATTAAATTTGATTTGTCCTTTTCATATGTGTTCATTTTTTTTAATTGTATCCTTTGGTATATATGGTTGTGACAATTTTCTTCCACAATTTGATCTGAGGAAGTGGGTCTGGCCCACAAAAGCTCATCACCTAATAAACCATCTTGTTAGTCTTTAAAGTGCTACACAGTCCTGTTTTTTGTTTCTGATAAGAAAATGATTGAAGAAATTTGTTATACATCAATGCCATCTACTGGATATTGATGGAAGCAGCAGAGAAACAACTCAAAGCTAAGCACTTAATTAACATGTGACCAATAGAGATCAAAGATGGCCACCTCCAACGAGCTCTGAAATTCAGGTATATATATAAAACTATATATACACCCCCACAAGGGAGACTCTAGATTTGAATGAAATCACAAGGAAACTATAGAATCCTCACTGCAACAGACAGCTGGACCAATGGTAAAAGGCTAAATAGTAATATTTCATATCAAAGATCCCCCTTTTGTTCTTTAATATAAATAATTGTAAGTTAACTTAAGTCTACAACCTCTACAAGAATCTCAACTATTTTAGATTTTACTCTTTAGTAAGTTCTAGCAAACTACCTACAGATTTGAACAATAACCTTTATGCAATAAGTGATCATAACTCTATCACATTTATAATGTGCAAGCAAAATAATACCCAGACTGGTATTTTATATACTTAGTGCTTTAATACAGCTAATTTCACAAAGCTGAAAAAAATATAGGGCAAATCTCCTAAGAGGAAGAATTTAAACCAGAAAAAAGTGTGAGTAAATGGGAATCACTTAAAAACATCAGATACACTCATCCCCACAAACAATCACAAACCCGCAATTAAGGGAGAAGGCTACATGGGATTAAAAAAACCAAAATGTATTATATACTAGAGGACTGCAACCTGCTCGCTATGCTCACCAGCCCCCTCCCCCACCCCCCTCTCTCTGGCCAATGTCACTCTGTCGCCTGGCAGGAAAATCTTTTATATATAGAGAGAGATAAAATGAAAGAAAGAGGAAGTTGATAATGAGGAATATAAAACAGAAGTTAGGAACTGTAGAAAATTGGTAAAGGAAACCTAGCAGAGATAAGGACAAAAGGAATTCTTGAAATATAGTAGGAACAAAAAGAATCCCAACAATGGTACTGGTCCATTATTATATGGAAATGGTAGAACCATCAATAATAATGGAGAAAAGTCAGAAAGACTCATTAAATATTCTTCCTGGATTTGGAGAAAAACAGATGCTATATTCTCCTCATGTGGTAGTGATAATATTCTTTCCATTCATTAGCATATTTGGAGGATGGTAAGCAGAAGCTCGTAGAGTTACACATTTTTAAATCAGCAGGTCTGTATAACTTGCATTCAAGAGTTTTCAGAGAGCTGGCTTATGAGCTCAGACTGATAATTTCATCTTCAGTACACCTTGGAGCACTGAGGAATGTCTACAAGATAGAAGAACGCTAATGTTGTGCTATTTTTTTTTTTAAAGTGAACAAAAATAGGACTGTCAGTCTGACATATTTTGGACAAGATAATGAAGCAGTTTGACTTGTACTACATGACACTAATTAAAAAACTAGAATATATAATGAACACAGGGCACATTTAATGGAGGAAAAGTGGCTGATTGACTTGTTTCAATGTAACTGTAAATGATGAACTATCATTGAGCAGCTCTATTTCCAATGGGGTCCAGCAGGGACTACACTATTTAATATTTTTATCAACTGACATGGAAGAAAATAAAACACACTGATAAAGCTTGCAGAGAATACACAAATTGGGGAAGTAGTAAATAATGAAGTAAAGAGGTGACTGACTTGGAGGAATTTTGATCATCTTGTAAGATGAATGCAAGCAAGCCATGTGTGTTTTAACATGGTGAAATATAAACATACAAACAATGCAGACCATATTTACAGGATGGGGGACTAATTTGGGAAGCAGTGTCCCTGTAAAAGATCTGGGCTGTTAGTGGATAATCAGCTAAAAGTGAGCACTGTGATGCTGTGGCCACAAGGGCTGATGCAATGATCCTTGGATACATAAATGGGGGATTTTGGAGGAGGAGTGAGGTTATTTTTACCTCTATATTTGGTACTGCTGTGACTGCTGCTGGAGTTCTGTTTCTAGGTCCAGTGTCAACAATTCAAGAAGGATATTGAAAAACTGGAGAGGATTCAGAAAAGATGCCTTACAGCAGTATTTCTTAAACTGGTATGCCGCGAGGCAGTCAGAGGTGTGCCGCGGAGAACAACAGATTTAAAAAAGGTAAGGAGTCCTACAAGTCCATGGGGAACAAATATTTAGAAACATGTTCTTCAAGTTGAGAAACATATAACACAATTCATGACCGGAAGCTGAAGCTACACAAATTCAGACTAGAAATAAGGCATATGTTTTTGATGGTAAAAGTAATAAACTTAGAAAAATTTACCAAGGATCATGGTGGATTCTCAATCACCAACAATTTTTAAAATCAGAATTGAATTTTTTCTAAGAGATATGCCCTAAGAATGGTTTTAGGGAAATTCTATGGCCTGTGTTATATGGAGCCAGACTACAAAATCATATTGGTAATTCTGGCCTTGCAATTACATAGTCTGGCTTCCCCATGAAAATTGCACAAGGATAAGAAGACCGTCAGGTTAATAAATTGGAAGGTTTTCTCTGAGAATAATGTAATGTCAGCTTATGCTTGTGTTTAAAAATCAAAACAAAAACACCCCCCACTATGAAACAAGGATCAACAAGCACCTAAATTTCACTTATTCTATCAGTTGAAATAACTACAAACAAAACTTTAGAGGTAGTATAAGATAAGGCATAGTCCCTAGCAGACTTAAATGGTGGAAAGATGAGTCTAGTAAGAATTAAGCTTAAGTCTGCTAAGGTGGAGCAATTCTATATTCAAGCGTAAAGATAAATGATTCCTTAAGGGGACAAATTTTAACTGTAGTATGTGCAGAAATTAATTGGGTGAGGGTGATAGGTGAACTGCTACTCACCAAATGAGCCTAAATCATTACAATAAATAAACCATAAATATTCAGAGGTATTAAATTATCCATTTTAAAGCAGTCAGCCTGCACTGAAGTAAAAAGACTTACCCTGGTTTATTTGCAAATCTAGATTTCTGAAAAGAAAACAGGCAGTATATATTTGAGTGTGTTGTAGGAGAAAACAATCCTGACAAGGCACTCACCCAAATGCCACTTCTGTTATCTGGACCTGAGGATTTGCAACCCAGATTAAACAGAGTTCTATTTACTGAATTCTAAAAAGTACACATTTGAAAATAAAGATGTGAAAACACATGCATCACCAAAAGCAAAAAGCCCTGAACTAATCCTGAGGATTTGACGAGGGGAATTACATGGTCTGGAGTGACTATACAAACTTCAGCTTCCAAACATAGGGCAGCATCAAGCACTGTATTTGTTCAATTCTGAAGAAAATTATACAATGAACCAGAAAACTCTATCCACAGAGGCTGATTTCACCATAGCTGGATTTGAAATCTCTAGTCAGCACCAGTAGTATTTTTGGACTGGAATTTGTTATGTAATATTGTTCAAAACTGATACAGAACTGAGACATTTCCCATTTACCTTCAAAGGCTCAGCAACTTGGTGGTTTCCAGTAACTTGTTCTAGAACTGTCCTAGAATTCTAGAGTTTTGCAATTGTTTTTGAATCCTATCTATCACCATGTTAATAGCACCTAGCTCTTTCATAATGCTTTTTATCCATAGATAGCAAAATGTTTTCCAATGGGATGAGTCTCATTATTCCCATTTTATAAAAAGGGAAACTGAAAAAATACATAAAACCAACCAGTTAATGTTTTCCTCACCATCCCTATTATTGTGCTGGGAGATAAGTAGCCTAGAGAAAAAAATTCTATTGAATTTTGATCACTTGTGCCATCGTGGCTCCTGTTCCCAGATATATCTACTCTCACTCTAGGGCTACGTCTACACTGGCCCCTTTTCCGAAGTAGGAATAAGAGATCCTCCGGAATAGGGCTTTATTCCGGAGGATCGGGCCAGTCTAGATGCTCTTTTCCGGCTTTTCTACAAGCTGGAAAAAAGCGGCGGACATCTTTATTTAAATCCCGCGGGGGATAGTTAAATCCCCCGCGGATTTCCCTATTACGAAGTTTAAAATTAGCATGCCCCTTTCGGAAAAGGGGCCAGTGTAGACGCAGCCTTCGAGTCAGAGATGTAGTACTCTATGACAAAGGATACGATTTGGTAATGAAGGTCATGGATTCTATGACTGGAACAGACCCGTGACTGTTGGCACAGACATGTTATTACACAGCACTGATACACTTCCCATACAGGATACACAGACATCCTCATCACCTCTTTTCTTTCCAAAAAGGTCACTTCATGCTCTATATTCTTCATAAGCACAGAACTACACACTCACTGCACTTAAACCTTTCCATGATAGCATTAATTGTTCTCAAATATCAGTTTTCAAATTCCTCATGTGTCCACATTTCAATGTCCCCGACACTCTTGTACTCTTACTGAGGGTAAAAATTTGCCTTCTACTCCTTCCCATGGTCAGAGAGTACTGGAGAGACGTTTTGGAAATGGTGCACTAATGAGACTGATCTCCTCTTATAAATGAATGATTGCTTCAAGTGGCATCTGTGTGTTTGGAGGGGAAGGAGCAACTAGAAGCAAGGTTGTTATTGGCCAGAGTGCATGAATGTGGCTGGCACTACACAGATTAACTAGCCAAACCTCTGTAGAAGAGAAAGTACGAGGGACACAGCTACTATCACTGCCCTGAAATGCATTGACTTATGGCCTGGAACATCCAACAAATTGTTGTTACTGCTTGAAAATGTAAAAACAATAATACCATTCAAACATTATTTACATCCAGCAAATTACTACTACTAAAAATGCATCTTAATGCTCTAAATTGGAGCATCTTTTCACATTAGACAAGACACAAAATGCTTTGCTTCATCTTATGATGCTTATTCTTGATCAAACTACTCTCACAACAGCTCTCCAACACAAACAGCTATGTTCTTAGGAGAAGTTAATATATGTTATTAATAAGATGAAAGGGAAAATTATCCAGGGTACTTTGAAGTAACACATAGCACTGGTTTCATGTGTTTAAAAGTTGTCAGTTCAAAGACATCAATGGAATGGTTTTACCAAGTGGCAGTGCTCCATTACTTGCATCAGAGCAAATCATATATGCACATGGATGCAAGTGAAAAGGAGAATTTTATATTATTTTCATGTAATTTGCCTGTATGCTTTCCCTCCCATTCCATATTGCAAAATACCCCTATAGAAACTGGCAATCATCTAAAAGGAAAACAAAAACTATTCATGTATATTTAGTTCTTTTTTTGTGATTTAGCAATTACAAATTAAGAAAACCACCAGCACTATGTAATCAGCCAGCTTTCCACAGACAAATAGGAGTGCTCCACAGAAAGTGGTTCTGGGATCACTGTTAGCAGCAGCCTTAGCTTATTTTCTAACACAAGGTAGGTTTAATCTAAAGAAAGACACAAAGCAGAAAGAGTACTTTTAAGAAAAAAAGATCAAAATTCCATACAAAACTTAAGACTAAACAAACAATGCTACAGGATTTAACTACTTTACAACACCTACGCTTTGAACTCCAGAATAACAAATATTTAAAAGAACCCTTTATCACAATGAGTTTCTTAAAGTAACAAAGTTTGCATATTATAATCAGCCAGTGCAATTCAAATGATACAATCACCAGACGCTCAGGTAATATCTATTTATGTTATGAATACTATTTATATTCAGACATATAAACACATTTCTCATTCCCCTCACTGCTCACAGACTACCTGGAGTCTTAGGGTGACTGATGACTTCATCCATTAAACACGAAAACCTGTCATGTGCTGTCAGTTCTGCAGCAGGCTCAGACTGCCTTAGGACACATGGTTCAAACTTTGGAGTCACAACAGCATAACGAAGCAGCTCTTCATATTCATCCTGTCACAAAAGGATGATAAATAATTATAAAGCTACTGTCGTGGATTTTAAACACAAACACAAGAAGAAAGGAATGAAAATGGATATGTTCGCTTTTAAATTAGTGTTTTGTATTACATGGTAGAATAATAATATTACTTATGTTTTCATGGCTCAGCTGTTTCACTTCAATTTAATTGGCAGAGTTAACGTTTTAGCTCTTTTTTATTTCCTATTTTAGAAAGCCCATACTGTATTCTAGTTAATACATTATAATGAGCACACAGTACACATTCTAGTTCTTTGGTAGCTGAACTAAAATTACAGCTATTTTAGGAAGCTCTCTGAATGCCTTCTAAAAACTGCTTGAGTTGGACAAATGTTTCTTTAAATCACTTAAGTTATCAGATGGCCTGCTACTGCTTTTGTGCAACATCTTATTGTATAAGAAGAAATACAGTTTTATTCCCATCACATAGACACTAGAAGAGTAAATCAGGTTTCAATGTTTGTATAATGAAAATATATTTGGGAGAAATTACAAATATGGCTATGGTGAGAGATTTGGTTTTGTTTAAAGTTGGTGAGAGTGTTCAAATCAAATTTAGATGGGAAGACATTGAAGTATTAACTTTTTATGTGTTTTATACACCATATTATAAAATCAAAGACCAATCCAGCTTCCCATCACCATCGCAATCTCCACATCTTGGATTCTGTAATTTTCAATGTGTGTTCTTACGGCATACTGGAAATGGGTTGTACCATTTTAGATACACTGTAGTATGAAAGCATCTATAGGTAAACTCTGTGTTCAGAAATCTGTCCTGTATTATAGCAACATTGCACCACCACCCTAGTTGAAATCATATCATGACGATCATTGATAGGTTGAGCTTTTAAAGTTCTCTAAAAATGAAATGCTTAGTTAGATTCCTTTGAAATTTGTTATGCCTCAGGGAAGGTATAACGTAGGTTTAGTGACCCAAATTTGTGGCCATTTGAGCTACAGGTGGTAGAGACATAAGCTCTTCCAAAAATAACCGTTTTCCAAAAAAAGTTTCTACGTAGAGATTTTTTGTACCAAACTAGAGATTAAACTATTGCTGTGATGCATGTCTGAATAAACTGAACTGGTCCATTTTTTACCCAAGGTACTGCATGGCACTCACTAAAGTCTTTGGGGGACCCAAATTGTGAATGTTATTCCCTTGTGTAGGTATGCAGTGTAGAACTACTACAATGTGCATGCACCAATAAAGAGAGGAAATGGGGGGGGAAAATCAGAGGAATTCTGTGGAGCCATTTTATGCTTGCCTGAGTAGTTCAAATGAATGCACCAACACTGCTTCAATGACCACCATACTGACATTCTTAAACATAATCTTTGTACATGTGCAATGAAGATTTAATAACTCATGTTGCTTGTTACAAGTTTATTATATAGTACATTTTTATTTTATGGGGTGGCTTGCTGTGTTCACAGCAGAATGGTCAGCAATAATTCTAGCCCAAATTGTCACATCATGTCAGGAGGTGAAGAGACAGGATTTGGAGAAGGGTGGGGGAAAAGTGTGTAGCTGTGGCAGGGTTGGGCACATTGAACACGTGGTAGAAATGCCTTAGATAAGTTATTTGAGGGGGAAAAATGTATTTCACTAGCTTGAAGTGGCTATTGCCAGATCTTGGAACAGATTAATGTGGTGCTTCCAAAAAACAGTGTGGAGGTTTGGAATTGGTAGCACGGGTACCCTAATGTGGGGAAAATGTGTGTGCACTACAAGGGTTACCTGTGTGCGCATTCTGAGTGATTCTGCAACCTCCTAATCCAGAAAAGTCATGGAAAAGTTGCGGAAGTCATGGAATCTGTGACTTTCAAAGACTTCTGTTCCGTGAGCCTAAGTGGCTAGGAATTGCAAGGTCCTGATGTTTCCAGTGAAGAAAGGGAGCTGTGAGGTACCCCCAGAACTCCTTGCTACCACAGGCAGCGGGGGATCCCTGACTGTTTTGAGACACAGTAGAGGGGGATGCTGGAGCTCTGAACCCAATAGGCGGTGGGAGCCCCCATAGCACCCAACCTGCCTCTGCTGCTGCTTCCAGCTTCTCATTTTGCCAGATATTTTTAATAAGAAATCTCAGATATGTCATGGGAATCTGTGAATTATTCTTTATCACACATGACTTTACTGTGACTTTTAGTAAAAATATCTGTGATAATATCTTACCCTACCTTTCACTCACACAATTCTGTACTGAAATTCTTCCTTTTGCTCACATACATTGTAGGGGACCAAACATAGATATACTCACATCAGAGCCACAAAATTAAAAGCCATTGGTATTTTCACCAACATAGTATAGATTGATCAATGGTACAGAAAGCAAAAGAGTACAGAGTTCCTCTCAGTCATTATAGCTAACAGCAAGTCTTAGCTCATGTAGATAGACAAACAGATATTTATTGTACAGAAGATTTCTGGTTACTTTCCTCTCATCTCTTTTTAAGAATATGACAACGGCTGCAACAGCAGAGACGGTTAAATATCAGTAATCTCTGGGAATAGAAAAGCACCAGAGTACAGTGATTTGTCAAGGAAATGAAAATCCAACCAATAGCTCAAAGTTGTTAGTGAATTAATACAGCATTACTATTTACTCCTACTGTCCTTTCTATTTTAGAACATCAAGGTACTACACAATACAAGCCATTAATTAAGTTTCTTAGCAACCCTGCACGGTGAGTTAAAGGATTAATTATTTGATAAAGGTTAATGCATCTGCTCAAAAGCCAACAATAAGAAGGGGGCAAGACTCACAAATGCAATGTAGATGTTTTCATTTCCAATCATGTGCCTTAGCCACACTCCTCTTTTCACTATCATGCTGCTTATATAGTAAAATTCCATTGGTCCAGCATCCAATGCTCCGGCACTCCTGATGGTCCGGCACCATCAGGAACCCGGAAGTGCTCCGGCTGCCGGACAATTGGAGCTGCTCTGCGACCAGCTTCCCCAATTCTGCCGCTGCTGAAACTGACCAGCAGCTAAATCGGGGAAGCCGGGGGCAGCAGCTAGGGTGCTGCCAGGTTGGTCCTGTAGTGCTGCTCCTTAGCACTGCGGGACCAACTCAGCAGCACCCCAGCCGCTCTGCCCCCGGGCTCCCCGCTAGCTGCTCTTGGGGACGCCTGGGGAAGAGTAGCTGGGGTGCTGCTGGGTTGGTCTCACAGCACCGAAGGGCGGCGCTACCAGACCAATCCAGCAGCACCCCAGCTGCTCTGCCCCAGGCATCCCTGATTCAGCCGCTGCTGAAACTGACTAGCAGCAGCTGAATTGGGGACGCCTGGGGCAGAGCCGGACTATCGAAGGGGAGGCTATGAGGGGTGTGGGGTGGCATCCCCCTCCATCCCACCCCAGACTCCTCATAGCCCCCCCTTCCGATTGTCCGGCATATCTGATAATCCGGCACCCCCTGGGTCCTAAAGGTGCCGTATTATTGGAAGTTTACTGTATGTACATCCTGAGCACTCAAAAAATTCAGACCAAACTCAAGGGAAAAGTAGAGTATATAGATAGCCCTCTGAAATTCTCCTTTCTGAGAAAAATCCATTCACTACTTGCAAGAACACATATGATGGTATATCCAAACTGATCTAACATGCAAGATCACAGAAGTATTGCTCATGTAATTAAAACTGTCAAATTGATGGCATGAAACTTTGCCATAAAAGTTACAGGGCAACTGCTGACAGAAAGCGAATTTGTGTATTTTTTTTAATTGAAGCAAGCAAAGAAGATTAAACTGAGATTTAATGTGTCCTATGAACATTGTAAGTGGTTCACCAAAAGGAGAAATATCTATCCTATTAAAAGAATAACAACCTCCTCCTTCCCCCAAAAACTTTCAGCAACCCATCAGTTGAACTGGAGAGGCCGACAACAAACGTGAAGAATAAAAATAAATCCAATGGTTTAATGGTCACGTGGATATAAAGTAATATTTCCCCAATGCACACCCATACTCTAAATATCACTCCCATGCTATTTCAGTGCGGCAATATCAACTACAAAATTTCACTGACCTCTAGAGGTAAAATATTGGGAACTTGAAGACAAAGAGGATGGAATTATTTAACCTATGCCACCTAGTTTTGCAGTATTAAAAAACCCCACATTAGTATTTCTGAGAACACAAATACACCCATTATTCTATGAAATAGGAAATACTATACCAGAAAACTCAGCAATGACTGAAGTATTAAATGCTTTTTTATTTCAGATTTCATCAAAAAAGTTAGTGTGATCAGATGACACATCCAGTGACCATTAGAGTAAATGGGTAGGA